TGGGGTTTCCTGCAGTGCAAAATTAAATGACTGTCCAACCCTAGCAGCACACTTGTCACTGAACAATTGTGGTTACTTTTGTGCAACCCATTCCAGTCACAATCAAGTTTCAGCAACTTATTTTGATGGAAGTGTGCTGCTTGGGATAGTTCCAACACAGAAATAAAAATTTGTTGAATATTACATACATCCAAACAGCTGCACAGAGGTCATTCCGCTGGTTGTGAAATGTTACGTTGTACGGTGTACAACGATTTTGCAAACAAATTTACATCCATTGATGTAATATTGTATCTGTTTTATGCTATTACATCATTATTTCATACATCAGCTTGAATTACGTTGCTCGATATTATATTTTTTTTGCTGTGTAGATGTCTGTTTCCACCAATGACATATCAACAGTTTTTCACTTTAAAATAATCGGAAAATATTCATTTACATCTTTCCCATCCCTAAACACGTTCAAATCAAAGGAATGTCATGTACTAAGTATGTGAAACAACGATAAAAATCATTCGATATCACAGTCGTAGTTTTTAACTGATAATCCAATGCAATCTATAAAATGAATAAACCTTATGACAAATCATAATACTCTGATTTAACTTGGAATTCTCCAGTTGATTGCCTAAGATCTCACCGCAGCATTAGTATTCTTTCTCGAGAAACATGTGAAGAAAAGGCCCACAAGCCAAACGTGAACAACGACATTGAACGTTGATTGCTCACCAATCACAACACGTTCAGGCATACTAACTATACCAACTGATAGAGCAAACTTCCTCTACCGAATGCTGGTGTTGGTTTGTTTAAATGAGTCGTTATATACGAGAAATCGACGATTAAAGTAATTGTTTACAATTTGCACTTAAGCCCTTATCACATGTTGCTCAGTTGAATTTCTCTTGAAAATTTGCATTGTATGTACGCATCCAGAAGATCTTTGAAATTTCCTCAGAATTCTCTTGGAATCTTCCTCCACCTTAGAATTCCTATGAATCTATTGTGGGCTGCGTGATCGTACGAGTGAACGTGAACGTGAACTAGTGCCACGAAGTGAGGGTTCGATTCCCGCTACAGCCAGTGGAACTTTTCGCAACCCGTAAGTTTCCCTACTGGTCTACAAGGAGTTGTGTGTTGTTAAGTGTTCAGTCTATCCAACCTCTGGTTTCTTATCACAATGCTATTGGAATTATTTTTAGGATGCATTTGGAGTCAGAATTTTCTTGGAATACTCATCTAAACGACTTATTTGAACCCTCCGAAATTATGTTTAGATATCCCTCTATTGTTTTCAAATTTTCACTGTAATTTTGCATGCCATTCCAAGCCACACGATATTGTAGGTGATATTTTCTAAAGAACTTTGTCGTATTTCCTATTCTACGAATATTTTGATTCTAATATGATTAACAAGTAGATCGAACACACTACTTTAGTTTCCTTGTACCGTGGTGAAAATAGTTCATTTAATTTACAATCAAAATAATGCTTGTTTCAAAATCCTATTGATTTTTCCCCGTTACGAAATGCATTTGTAATTTGTTTTTAAACTCAGATCGAATTTTCAGAAAATACCGTTATATTTTTTAATAATTTGGTTGAATTCATCTCGAAACCCCCATGACACTTTCATCAGATGTTTTAAGGATAAACTACAATGGAATATAACTCTAAACTTCTACTAAATAACGTTTCTAAGAATTTCAATTTACCATAGCATTATTTTGGAATCAACTCCTGATTCAGATTCCTGTCAGAATTCTTTAGAAGTCAACGTTGCTTGTCAGCGGCGCTTGTGGTGTAGTGTAAGCGTGATTACCTTTCACCCCAAAAGGCCTGGAGCCGCCGGGATAATTATTTAAACTTTCTGCTCGTAGATTCTTTCAAATGCAGCTGGACATTTCCTTACAATCTCTTGAAATTCTAATCAAAATGATCCTGTTATTCTACTCAAAACTATCTTTCTTTTCATTTATCAACAGAATTAAATGGAAGTTCTCCTCACAAAATTGACGAGATGAAATAGCCTACGGCTAAAATTCTCAAAAAAAATCTCACAAACTTTTTGGATTTCTTTTTAGAATTACTGTGAAAGTTTCCTCGGGATTCCTTAAGATTACTTTCCAGTTTTTTCGAGGAATTCGTTTCGACATAACCGTTAAACTATCTCAAATCTCATCTAAATTCCTTTGGAAATGTTTCCTGTAAGCTCATCCAAGTTTAAGACAGAACTCAAGTTATTTGTTTGGGTTCAAAGTTTCTAAGAGAATTTCTAAGTACATTCTTTCTCTTTTCAAAATCTGACCTTGTTACCAATTCAATTTAATATCGATCAGCATAATTTTTTGCTCGATACTCTCGAACATATCTCGAGCTCGAGCTAAATACTCTTATGGATCACACCTTCAGCTAGTCGCCCTTGGCTGTTTTTGCCAACCCCTTACTTCAGCGCTGAGTATGCTGAAACAAATCGACATGTACGGTTGGATCCATCTTATAACATAGCAATGTCAGAATGTTTATTCATTTTATAGATTCCATTGGATTTCATGATTTCCAATGCATTTTTTAAATCGCTTACAAAATGAGGTCTCAATAGAGTGTTAAACAGTTATTCATAAAGTAGAACATCGAAATAATATACGAAAAGTGATTTTTTCCATTCTTTTACGATATATGCTAATAAAAGCTTAATTTTTAGTCGAACAACTGTGTGATGTATGATTTATGATTTCATGATCTGGAATTATTTGAGAATCCTCCTGATGAAAACAAGCACAATCCGTTACCCGTAAAAAGCATATGAGGAAAAGTAATCGTTGTTTTTCTACAAGTGAGCGTTTTACGCCAGCAGTGCAATATGGGCTGTTCTTCATTACCTTTGAAATGTTTGGTCAGTCTGCTGGCCGCATGCATTCCACAGAGTGAAAGCATTCCACTTATTCACCCAATAAATGGAATCCCAATAAAAAGGCACCGCAGCATGAAAACTCCTGAATGATTACGGTACACGCAAAAACAAATTCCCTTACATCCATTTACTATTGGATTTATTACATCCTTTGCATATGTTTCATACAACTAATGTAATGGCAGTTCTTGCAATGGGCTTCAGTTTACAAACTAGTTTTTCCAGAATGCATATCTTTGTATAAAACCTTCACGAAATTATTAAAAAAGCTAACATTAAAATTACATAATTATTAAAAAAAAACCTTTCCAGTGACCCCATTACAGAAAATGTTCATGTCGCAAAACATTGCAAAATTTGTATACTTTTCATTTAAATCTGTAATTGAATCTTATATTTCCCGGTTGTGTGTATATTTTTATACTTATTTTAATAAAATAAGTCATAATCAAAAACTCTCCTGGTTTCAAAATTACGCAGAATATGGTTGTCTCTCGAGAATGGCAGTTTACGTAACAGTGAGCGAAGTGCGTTTACACACTTTTGAGTAGCCACACTAAGATTCGCACATTCAACTAAATTTTGAGTTCCTGCCCGTTAGTGTGCAAATGCAGTTTTATCACACTGCCACCTTGGTTCAAATATATGAAGTTGCCTCTAGTACTACGTAGGTGGCAGTGTGGTTGCATTTGATGAACGCAAATCAAGAAACATGGGGCTATCCAATAGTTACGTAAGCATTTAGGGGGATTTCTTCCGTTATTTTACATGGGAGGGAGGGGTCCTAGAGATATCTTACGAAAGCATGAACAAGGCATACGCCTTTTTAATAGAAACCCAAGCGATCGATTCAACCTCTGGTGGTGATAAATGGATTCATCTGAGATGCTTCAAATCATTATCTGCAGTTGCAAAATTGAATTCTGTATCGTTTTTGCAAGGATTCTGGAATATTTTTGTTGAGAAAACTGAAAAACTAGAATAGTGCCTTAGTGGTTATGATCTTCCAGATTTCTTGTGTGAATTTCGCCATACATTATGTCGATTTTACACCAGCGCATACGATTGAAGGCTACTCGCCCTCTAGTGGTGAGTGCTGTCAAAAGCAGCATGAACCACCCAATTAAAGCAATTTTCCACAGAACAGAAGGGGAAGTGCAAACAAATTGGTTAGGCACAAAGTGGTACGTTTTTCTACTCAACAAGCGATGCGTTGTGGCTTTCTATGCGCACTCACTCTATCATAGCATGCTGCCTATCTTAACTGCAGGCAGAAGATACCTTCTACCGCTAGGTGCGCTAGTGTTCGCCAATGAAAAGTGGATCCACTTTCTGATCCGAAGTTCCACTTCGGTTCTGTGAATTTTCATTAAACACCTTGCCATCTGCAATTGTCTTATTTTACAATTTTCCACAGATCTGAACTGATTTTTACAAGAAGTCGGGAACATCATAACTACTAGGGCACTATTCTAATTTCCCGTTTTTCTCAACAAAAATATTCGTGAACACCAGCAGGATCCTTGCAAAAACGATAAATATCTGAATTATTCAACTGTTGATCATGTTTTGGAGCAGTTTGTCAGGTCCGGTTTGTCTATTTTCTGAATTCAAAAGATTCTCATTTGTAGTAAAGTCTCATTCTGCGGTAACATGACTTAAAGTTGTCTGTTGTTTTTCGTGGAAATTAATCACTTTTTCACCACATTCAGAGCTATGATGCTATACGTAAACACAATTGCAGTTCATATCAGCAACACATTGAAGTATCACGAGGAACACAACCTAAGCAGATGCAGTAAAAAAAACGGCATTCACGATATTCACGTCACCACTCTGTGTGTATGCTTTAACTCAAGTGCAAGTTTAAGGATACGCGAACTTCTTGACAATAGTGTCACTAGTGCCATGATTTATCTTACATATGTATATGCAATGGTCGTGGCGCGAAACAAATTTAGTGGGGTGCAGAAACACAAAGAAAATAAAAGTGATGCACAAACTTCGTGCACCCGTTACTGATTGTTAGCGAATGCGTGTAGTAATTCGACTTCCCATTAGATCATTTTAAGCACGATTAGATAATTTAACTATCAGATATCAGATGTATACTTACGGCCACTTTGTCATTGCTGAAAAAAATAACGGATACTTTTGATTTCAATATCTATCTGTAAACATCCCTTTGCAAATAAATTTCACGACAGAGCACTTTGCATACATGTTATAGTGTAGAATGCATTCTAATTTTAAATAACGTTCTGTTAGTTTCAGCAGTTAGGAAAGTGCGGTTGGTGAAAGCGGATGTACACTTCTTACTATCTGCCACTCGGTCGCTAAATAGAAGAAAGCTGAGTAAATTGTTTTCGCGGCTGGGATTCAGCAATCCTAGAAGATTTTATTTTTACATATCGTGAAAGTCAAGTGCGCAATTCATATCCGTTGATGACCAGCAACCTAGTGGTGACATCGTATCATACCGTTGATATGATTTATGTATTGGTCTATTGAACCCTGAAATGTTTGGTGAAGAATAGCGGTGTGAAATAAGGCCTGTCTATTAAGTAGAATATTTGGTTATAGTTTCACTTAGCTTAGATAAGTGAACAAGTACATGTATCCCTTATATAACCATCCTGCAAAAATTGAAAAAATCGTTTGCTCGAGCTTCGTGTATTGTGCAAAAATGTTTAAGAAAAAATAAATTCTAATTAAGATTCAATCACTTGATTTCGGTAGCGGAATTCTCCAGTGGAGTATTTGTTCAACACAATCATCAAAAAGTGGAGTATTAGATTATTGTGTTTAAGGTATGATTCTTGAAAAGAACTGTGTCATGTGTTTAGATGTTTACTAACATCGTCGATCAAATGCACTTTGAGACGAACACGAAGTTTTCTTATTACAATGCCACTGCATTGAGAAAAATTTGTTGTCTATCTAGATATGTAGGTGTGTGTCCAATACACGTCACAAACGACAAAAGCCATAGACTGTCGGTTGAACAATAATACATTTTCAAAGAAAATAGTTTAGATAACGATGCATAGCTAGTTGTTGTGATTTGCAGGCTATTCGCGGCTTTCATTATCAACACTAAAACCTAACAGTTTTCCAATTGGACATACGAGGAGGCCAATACTAAGGAAGAACGGAACCGGATATTCATCACCCCAGAGCTAGTTATGGGTACATCCAAATTTGGCGTATTTTAGCTACATACTCTTCAAACAATTTTTTTTTCTGCAGGATTGGATTTCATTCAAGGAGGCAGTGCCGATTACGAAAATGCACTCATTCTGGCTGGGTTCGGAAAGTTCCACTACTTGCTGCTAACAATATGTGGATTAATCTACGCAAATACAGCGGTCGGCATAACAATTATTTCTTTCGTCCTACCGTCGGCGACGTGTGATTTTCAGATGAAGTCTGAAGATAAAGGCTGGTTAACCGCTGCACCGATGCTAGGTAAGTGACTTTAGCTTATTTACTCGCTCTCGAACTAGAACTTATGATTGGAGCTACACTTTCGGATCAGCTAATCATAATTATGGATGTCATAGTAGTATTATATTAGTTGTTTGGTGAGTTGGTATATTAGAGTGCCAAAGAATGTGTGATCAAATTACCATTGAATGGACCCTATACAAAATGATTATTGGCTCGAAAAAAGACGACGCTAATCAAAATTTGGGCTGAATCTGACATAATTTAGGGTTGTGCAAAGTTGTTCAACGATGAATTTTATAAATCCCCCATTTTTAAATCGTTTTGATTTTGTTGATAGTTACAATAAAACGATGAGATCTAGTGTTACCTTTGATTTTCTAGTTTTTTCTTAGTTTATGGACTTTTTGTAGATCAATAATAATTTGTTATGCCATTTAAAACAGAACATTAATATTTCTTATCTTAACGTTTAAGAAATACAGCAAAAATGTGTATGTGATTTTATTACTTTTTCGAATCCACCTAGCATTTTAAATAACTACATAATGGAGATGAACTAGCTTTCGGCGAAAAATCACGTTAATAAGGTATTTAAAAAAAATTGTTAGTAGTTGTTCTTGTCCAAAGACGCACCTTTATCCATCACATCAGCGAACGTACTGCTGCTGCTTTGATTTCCATTGTGCTGCTGCTTTTCCTCGTCCTGGAGATGCTTTTCTGGTCGCTTTCAGGACTTGCACTTCGGGCAGGAATTCCGGTGCCCCTCTATCTTACGGAGGAAGCATTTATCCTTATTCCTGTCATAAATTGTATTCCCATTCCAATTGAAGAAATGCAGTGAGGAGGGAATCTCTTTTTTCCCATCCTCACACACATGTGAAAATGTCGAGGCCCAACTCCGCAAGGAATTTCTCTCATCACTATCCTGCATTTTCCCAACACTAGTACCTCTGGTGGAAGGTTGTACAATCGCACGTTACCTGGTTGTCTCAATGAACACCAAGAATGAGAACTTACTCGCACATATTCGGTTTTGTTTTGGATGAATGTATTCCGGCACAAGCGAGGGGAGTGACACATTCCTGAGATGCTTGAAAGTCTCACGCAGTCGAATCTACCTTCAGAAAATCTTTTTTTTTTTAAATCACACATCTTAATCTATCTACTAGCATCGAACTCTATATTTATGCTGGAAATCTACCAAATCTTCATAAATCTTTCTGTCTACTCAGCGAGTAGATCATCCCTGCATTTTAGATAGAGTCGCCCCCCTCGGGCACAAGCAACTCGAAGTAGGTTGGATCGGCTGAATGAACGCTAATAAGGAGATCTGTTGTTGTGTTGTTGCGATCTGTTTCGAGCGCTCGTTATACAATGCTAAATATAATTTCTGTTGTTTTTTATTAGATTATTTACAACGACCAACTATTAATAGATTCAATTTTCATACCTTCACTTTCCTGGGAGCGAAAAAACAGATTTGTACCTGGATACTGCGAACTCAATCGAAATTTAGAAAGTATCGAATGTATCGATCTTCATCAGTTAAATACCACCAAAAATTCTGAGTCAGAAGTGCTCGAGTCTCCATGACTCTAATCAAGTTTGTTTTTCCATCATTTTTCTTTCTTCACCCGGAGGCGAACAAGCCCCAGGCTGAAAGCCTCCCTAATAAAGAAAACCTAATCTAACTTGCATTTCGGAATGTCCCGAATTGCAGAAAATACCATACCGCTGGTCACATAGAGATTGATATTCTTTGATTATGAAGTTTCTCCTTACTCGTCAAAGTGCACAAAATTGAGGAGAGCACGCAGCCATCACTGAGACACTTTATTTTTCTCTCCTCTGCTTAACTGTTACATTTTTAGTCGACGTACAGTTGCTCTATGTGTGAGAATGGGTATCATCACTTTGTGCATTATTTTAGAGAGAATAACATCGCTGATTTGTGAGTTCAAATCCCGCCGGATGCCGTATTTCTTTTTCGCAGACATAAAATAAAGTGTACTATACATCCAATAACAGGCATGGTGATCGGTTCATATTTTTGGGGATGCTTAGCTGACACAAAAGGAAGACGCATTGTTCTGATTGCTGCCCTGCTCCTCGACGGATTTGCCGGGCTACTTTCATCGATAACACACATTTTCGGACTTTTTATGCTGCTAAGGTTCATCAATGGTTTTGCGTAAGTGAAAATTTTACAAGCTTTACATTGCATTCAGTTGATTATTTAACAACTATTATTATTATTATTACTGTTTATCTGTTAATTATTATTAATTGTTTATTTTCATTTGACAGAATAACAGGCGCTATGGGCATATGTTTTCCGTATCTAGGAGAATTTCAATCTACAAAATATCGAGAAAAGGTTAGTGAAGAGCAGGTGCAGGCCAAATGAATAGATAAAAAATAAACAATTTCTATTGAATTCACTGAAACTTAACAAAACTGTTCACTGGAGAGCAATGAACCAAGTTTGTGCCATTTTGGTTCACGCCTAATTTTTTAAAATTGCGTATTGGATATTTTACAATAAATCATAGCGAATTGAACAAAGTTGTAGGAAACTGGATTGCCTTTTCAGAAAAAAAATAGACGCTGAAAAGAATCACACATTTTGTCAAAAAAATGAAAAATTAACTGCAATAACAAAAATAGAAAAAGTGCTTTATTAAGGTATTACAACTTAATTTTATTTAATATCTTATGCTAACTTTTCTGAAATGGGCCCAATGGACACTTCAAAATTGGACAAAATCGTATAACATAAATTATTAGCAAAATCTCTGAACTTTTCTTTCACATAATATTAATGTGATTTGTGCATAGGAAACGATTTTCTGGACTTAAAAATAGGTTCTGCCATAAAACAATCAAAATTGTTTGTGGAAATTAAGGTTAATTGTACTAATAGTCTACAATCTTTGATTTTGGTGAATTTTGAAGCGTCCATTATATCCACTTCAGAGAAGTTAGCATTGTTGATAAGCTTTTAATAAACATATGTTTAAAAATATTAAAAATGTATTTTTTTTGCGAAGTTTCATGGAATTCAGAGAGTGGAAAATAAAATTGATTCGTCAGTTGCCGTGGAACTTAAAATAAACTAAGAACAATCGTCATTGTATTTAAGTCAGTAATGCCTTATATTTATGCTCATAAATGCCTTATATGTTTTTTTTTTAATGTTGTTAACATTTCTATTGAAAGTAATACCTATTCTTAATGAGACTTTCAGCCGTAGGCTGGTTCGTCTCATTCATAATGGCATCTGCTGATTAAAAAGTATACTGATTTGATATGTTATTTTTTAACGTGATTGGTTGGTTCATCTCTGTGTAGGAACTGATCATCATTAAGAGATGAACTAGCCTCAGGCTAAAAATCTCTAAAATAAAGATTTAAAAAAAAAAAAACTGATCATCATCTGGTTCATATCTGTATACTGATTTTTTTTCAAGTTATTCTGTCAGAGACACTCATAAGTACAAAACGATTGTGAATAAGAGTGAATAAAAAAATAACGAATATATAACCTGCTTGTCGCTAGAATAGTAGAATTCACAGTTAGAAACAATAGTTATCGTTTTACACTCAATTCTGTTTTCACGTGATTTTTTTTATGATTCTTCTCTCATGCAGGAAAGTTACTGCAATTTTAATACCGCTTGATTTTTTGAAACACGTTGCATTAAATTTGGTTCAAATTTGAGACCACAGAAAAATAGAGGCGAAAATTGCGTAAAATTTGTAAATTGAGTGTATGTACATTAAAACCACAGACAAACAGACATAACACATTGAATATTTCTCACTGTAAAACATCGTCGCTAAAACATTACCGCCATCTGTTGAGTACACTGTGGTGGGTAGTACGCTGAACAGATGGCGGTAGGGTGTAAACGTCAAACGCAAGGGAATTAACTATGCGCGCCACGGGTGGCTGTACTACCAACTACAATACTTTTGAATTGACCGTTAAATGCTTGTTCGATAAACAACTTGTGTTATGTCTGTTTGTCTGTGTTAAAACTGTAACTGGTCGTTTGTTCAGTTCAAGTTCAGTAGGAAGAGACCTTGCGAGGTGGGTCTCAGAGTCGGCTTACTAATTAGTAATCATAAGGGGTTTCACGGATAAAATGTGCTGCGTACAGTCTCCTGATTAGGGATATTTTGGCATGTGAATTAAAAGATGTGATTTAACGGGAAAGCTATTATATTTGTTGAGAAATACTGTCTATTAATGATCTGATGGAGTAGTTTGATTGCACAATCTACAGTTTGTGTGCGTGTGGGATTTTGTGGGCTTTTCTTTGGTACGTACCGCTGCTCTCTTGTTGGTGATGTCGACAATCTGGCGACGTCCTGCGAGCGCTTCCTGCTGCTGCTGACGACGAATAGTGGCTGATGTTTCCCGAAACGGTGGCGATGGCGCATGGCTGTTTAAGCGTTCGATGGTTTAGCGGGGTTTACCGATCGTGTGTGGCTTTGTAAGCCTCCCTCGTTGATGGAGATTGGCCAGCCCCAGAACGATACCGGAATGACCGTGCAAAGAGGGTAATGCTACTATACGGTTAGGGGGTTCGACACCGAGCTTGAAAATCTCCTTAACGGGCGGCTGGTCCTAGGATTGGAATTGGTTCTTTTGCGGTTAGACGTAGCAAACTACGTCTACTACGCCGGATCGGTCCCCCTGGTCGAGGCTCCCTAACAAAAGAAAATGGCGACTTTCTATCGAACTAGCAGGTTTAAAAAAGGTCCTGTGAGGCTAACGGGAGGTATTAGAAAAGCCGTATTAATCTTCTAGTCCTAGAAGCTAGACTATGTAGATTTTAAGCGTAGGATATACCATCCCGAGCAGAAGAAAATAACTTATGAATGCCTAATTATGTTCCTGATACCATAATTTGGTGTTGATTGAAGAGGTAAAATACCTAAGAATAAAACAAACAAAAAATCCCACAATATCATTCCAATACCAAATTAAGCAAATGCAATACCAAAACAATACCACACAGGCATTATTTGGTATCCAAATATAATTTTATGTTATTTAGTCGATATAATTTAAACTAACATTTTTGATAGCCAGTATGAACATGTTTACAAACATTTACAAGCCTTACTACAAACCCCAATGCCACTTAACGCCATTGCCATTGCTTTATGCGATTCCGTTGGTACAATTCTGATTCAACTTAATCTTAAAAACCGTCAATGCGTGTTGCACTTCGTTACATAACATTCTTATTCTATTTTTATGTAATCACTTCAGAACTCCCAAATTCATTAAAAGTTGCTAAAATTCTTGCTATTAGAATGATCGATACTCCAGTTTCAGAAAAAAATTAACTAACTGTGCTCTGTCAAAAATATTTGAATCTATTCTAAACGAACTAAACTAAACGAATACCCTCCTTTGTTCTTTACAATTAGGTTATCGTAAGAACTGCAGTTCGATTACGGCGTATCTTGATCAAAGCATGTTGACGTTAATAATATATTATCAAATAGTACATGTTTAGAGTGGTGTACCACAGGGATCTATCCTCGGGCAGCCTTAAGTATGCACCTTTAGAATTGATAAAACGATCCATAAAATATTGAAAAAAGTTCTTTTAAAAACATTAAAATTATTCATAAAACACCGCAGGAAATCTCTTAAAAAGTGTGAATGATCCATAAAAATATCAATAAGATCCATAATTTATGTAAAATTTAGCAGCACAATTGTAAAAATGTACCGCACATTTCTAAAAAAAGCTTTGAAATTGCACGAATTACCCATAAACATATTGCAAATGATCCATAAAACATTCAGCAATGAACCTTAAAATAATGAATGTGATCCATGTTCACGCCCAAACGCGAACGACAGTCAGTGAACGTCGTAAGCCCCACCCATTTGTTAAATTTCTCTCAACCAACGATCGAGCAAGTTGAGTGCTGGTTGAGTGCTTGCTGTCGACGGGCTTGCGGAATCCCAACCGTCCTTATCAGGACAAGAAGAGTTTTTCGTTATCCCAAGCAGTGCTGCAAAATTTCGACAATACACGGTGATACTCAAAATTCTGCTTTGGTCACTCGTTTGAGCTAACAGTCATCGTCAAGGCAAGCCATGTCAATTGTCAGTAGCATTTTTGTCAGTGACGAACATGTGCTGATTTGTTTATTAGCTAAATTTGAAATGAAATTAAATGGCTTGAGCAAAACAATTACATGAAGCCATTAAAGTGAATAAGCATCTACGTCCTGAACCGCTTGGATAACAGTAATGTGTCTCAGAATGTCAAGTCTATCCATTGACTATGTGAAAAACAATTTTGTCAATATCGCGCAAAAGTCTATCAATGACAATGACAAATCTCAGCACTGATCCCAAGCGCCTGAGCAGAACACTCATTTTACGAAGACTTCCTGTTTGAGCGGCACCCTTTCCCTTTCCTGTCTTGTCAGGACACGATTAGTTTTACCGCAAGAGAACTAGGAAGTCCCACCATTCCCTTCATTGGAGTCTGGTACGGCTCCGACAATCCATAGAAAATAAAGCTTGCGTACCTAAAAATATAGGCACGATCCATAAATAAGACATATATTGGTCATGTTTTCAACACTATTTTTTTTTTATTTGATTCATTAACCTTGGAAAACTGCCCCATTACTGCGTAGCTACTCTGGTTTACTGTTCTGCCCGTGTTTTTTTTTGTCAGAAGAGCGTAGCGATGGGCATCAATAAGATATATAGAATAAGCATCTAAAGGAAGCTTCTAAAAAATATTTCCTAAGATGCTTCTTAACACTCCGAAAACGATGCAACCGGTAAAATATGTAACGGCAAATTGGTAATGTTTGAAAAAGCATTACTCCGCAATTTATCAATCGATTTTAAACTTACTCATACCGAATAAATTTTTAATGTTGAAAATTTCAAGTAGCGCCCATAGATTTGAAATGCATCAATAAATAGCTAAGCTATGATTTTTCAAACATTACAAGTTTGCCGTTACATATTTGACCAGAAGCATCGTGTTCAGAGTGTTATGAAGATTATTATAGAAGCTTTTTATGGAAGCTAATTCTAGACGCTTACCCGTCGCTTCGCACTTCTAACTAAAAAAAAAACAATGGAACATCATTTCAAGATTTATGGAACAAAAAATCAAAAAGTTAATGTCCTAAACATGAACAGTATGTGTCTAGTTTACGGATCATGCCTATATTTTTAAGAGCGCAAACTTTATTTTCTATGGATCACTTTCATTAGATTAAGGTTCATTGCTGTTCATTGGATCATTTGCAATATGTGTATGGGTAATTCTTACAATTTCAATGCTCATTCATATTTAGTGGTAAATTTTTACAATATTGATATTTTTTATGGATCGTTCACACATTTTAAGGGATTTTCACTGGGGTTTTATGGATCATTTGTTTGTTTTTAAGGAGCATTTTTCAATTTGTTATGGATCATTTATTGGTTTTTTTATTCTAAAGTACCGTGCCGATTCAAATTTCGGACACTTAAACTCGAATTTCGGACACTTTTAAAAGTTGATTATCTCGGTCGAATATGATCCACATGTCTTGTAAATTTTAATTTTTTTTTGACTAGTGCCCTCCACGATCATCTAACATTATTACTTTGTTTCTAACTGGATGTAATATTTAATTAAAAATGAAAGTGTCCGAAATTTGAATCGCCCGAAATTTGAATCGGAACGGTATGTTTGCCCTATCCTCGGCTTACTGGTTTTTCGATGTATTTTAATAATATGCTTACTATTTCATTAAATTTAAAATTCCATTTACGTGCAGATGACTGCAGTAAGTTGACATGTTAACTATGTAGGGGAAAGTGGGACATGATAACCATATGGTTCAAAAAAGCCACCCTGGTCTATGGGCATCAACCCGCTTTCCTAAAATATTCCTTTTTTGTTTTCCGTCGATCTTGTTTCCCGTACTGAGTACTAATACTACCGACAGCAGGGAGGCAGCTCTCACACCTGGACCCTTGTTATGGACCCATCAACTCATGGACCATGGACCAACGACTTTATTTCCCTAAGCGTGATCAGAGATTTTGTGCCTCAGAAAATCCCGGCTTCGCTGACAGGGATTGAACCCAGGCCCGTTGGGGTGAGAGGCAATCACGCTTATCACTACACCAGCGGCGCCGCTAAAAAAATTCCTTGTATGATTAATAACAATCCCACAGAACACCTTAGGAACACACGAAAATACCACAAAAAATACCTCAGGAACATACTAAATTTCATCTTGCTCCATATTCCCTACATATATCACTGAAAATTTCATCAAAATTTCTGAAACTGTATCATTAATAAATAGAGTCATTGAACATGTTTTAGTATGGTATCAAACAAACGGATTGATTTTTAAATAGAAACTCCTATAATGTTTAGATCTTATCCAACAAGTGTTGGCAATGAGTTTATAAATAGTCAAAGTGGGTACTGATAAAGCTAAATATTACAATTCAATTAAAAACTTTGGCTTTGTAAAGGACTGCAACTGCAACTTAAATGCTATAGTCAATGCTGGGACTGGTTGGCCTCCGTTCCTAAATTTGATTATATAGATACATGATATAGCTTAACTCCTAAAACAAATACAAAGAAATTAAATTTGGTGTTCAATGCCTTAACTAGATACAGTAGAGCGCTCTTAAGTCATTTGACAAATTGGTTTGGTTATAGCAATTTTTTTCCGTTTAATTTTTTTTTAAATGGAAGATTTTATTTGAAAGATAAAAGTTTTGTGATGAAAATAATATAAACATATTTTTTTTTATAAACTCACTAAAGCCAATTTTATACGGCTCAAAAGTCATTTGACATACCTAACATAAATTTGTGAAACACATTATAGGATATGTACCAGTCATGGTTATACGTTCCTATTATGGTGTGTTCCAATCATGGCATATGGGAACTCTATAGAGGGGGAGGGTAAAGGGGGTTCTAAAACCTCTCAAAAACTGTCCACATGGCATGTGGACAGCCCCTTACGAGCTTACGCCTACCCTCGAAGTATCAACATAGTGTTTTTTTGAATCATTTACACAGCTATTAAAAGAGAGCTTTCTATGTTAATCAATTACAATGATACTATGCCCTAGGAAGTCGAGAACATTTTTTAGTCTGATAGATTTTCTAGACTGGGCAGGGAATCGAATCCACATCCGGCTTGGTAATACCATGCCGCAGCAGACTGGACTGTTTAACTGTTATGTGCGCGACAAGTTTCCCGATAACCCAGCCCCCATTTAAATATCACAGTGTAGAAAACAGCAAAAAAAAAATCTGGCGCGCATAAGGGTTAAGGCCTCAGACCTGATATTTTAAATGAAATCAATGCACATGCGATGCGGTTCAGTCATTACTAATATCCTTTTAATTCATTTCTCCAGGTCCTCTGTTGGATGGAAATGTTCTGGACAGTGGGTACGTATCATGAAATCTACATGAAATGTTCAAAACATCCTGTCACCCATTAGGTGATCATTTTTTTCGCCTTTTAAGAGATGATCATCGTATAGGTGATATAGTTGGTGCTGTATATCGAGTTATGTCTTGTTCAGACTGCAGAGTTATAACATTAAAACAAATCTCGGCAAGAAAAATGCCATCAAGATCATTGCTTATAACATGTTATAGCTTTCCGGTTTGGCAAGTTTTTTACAATACAAGAGTAAATTTTCAAATAGGCGTTTCTTCTGCGGAAAAAAAGATTCAAACGTCAATTTGTTGCAACTCTTAGCTAACCCACGAAAGCTAACACCACCATCAGACAAGGTAAAGTTTTCTCTAAATGATGGTGGTGTTAGTTTGCTTGGGCGAACTAAGAGTTTCGACAAAATGACGTTTGAATCTTTGGTTATTTGAAAATTATCTCTTAAATTGTACTTTATGTTTTTATTGATATGAAAAGGTTCAATAATTACGTAAGCATTAGGGTGGGGGTGTGGAGGTGTATGAAATTCACCACATGTTTATCGTGAATACAAAACATAAATATTCGATGTAATCTTTGGATGGAGAAAACCCAAAAAACTACTTACGTCATTATTGAACGTTCTCTATTATTTCCCATACAGGTTCATATTCAAACAGCATTACTATTTACTTTATCATTTTAAGGAATTATTCTACTTCCCATCATTGCCTGGCTTTTGATTCCACTAACTTTCCGAATTAGCTACGAATGGATGATAGGAAGTTTCAAGTTTACTTGGGCTTTCAGTAGCTGGAACCTGTTCGTCGCAGTATGTGCTTTTCCTAGGTAAGCGAATTTGTCATAAAGGATGTGCTGATGCAATGCACCACTAATACGATCTTCTTTGTCTTCAGTCTTGTTCTTGGAGTAGCCCTGCATATGTTCCCCGAGAGCCCCAAATTCTTGATTGAATGTGGTGAAACAGATTTAGCTCTTGAAATTATAAAAGACATTTATGAATCCAACTCTGGGCGTAATCGATCCGAATATCCGGTAAGCATTTTAAGACGTTTTTATATATATACCGTACTAATCAACATCACTAATCCATTGCTCTACTATGATATTCTAATCTAGTACATTCCACATGTTTACCTGTTCGATTCGTTTCGTTTCATTTCAGGTGGAAGTTTTGAAAAGAAGTGATAAAGTTAACAGTGTTATGGAAACGCACAACAGATCAATACGTACTTTAAGCATGCGGAAGCCAAATCATCTGAAGATATTATTTGGTGAAATTTGGGACCAGACTAAAGCTCTTTGTAAAAAACCTCATCTCAAGAATACAATTCTTACGTGTATAATTCAGTTTGGCATTACAAGCAGTTACTACACACTCATGATTTGGTTCCCGGAGCTTTTCGACCGGTTCGAGGAGTACGAGAAAAGATTTCCCGACACTCCGGCTTCAGTATGCGATGTGTCGTCGATCGTGCTGGATAATGTTAATGGAACCTTGGTGGATGATTTCTGTGGTGGTTCAATTGATACAAGTGTCTATTTGCATACACTTTTCATTGGACTTGCATGTATTCCCACTAGCTTCTGGCTGCCTTTATGCGTTCATCGTTTGGGTGCCAAATTCTTCTTAAGTACTTTGTAGTCACATGTTGTTGGTGTTGTTGTCACATATGTAAATATTTTTTCTTTTTATTTGCAGTATCCAGCTTACTACTGGCAGGAGCAGTTACTGTGGGACTATATTTTGTGATGGACTCGAAGCAGAATCTAGTTCTTTCATGTGTATTTGAGGCATTGACGTCCATGGCGATTAGTACGGTATACTGTGTTATGGTGGATCTATTTCCAACTAATTTAAGGTTGTTCACGAGGAATAATTATCCAGCCATACAGCTTCAAATCAAAAACATTTTATATATTCACAGAGTTATGGCCGCTGCTTTATCTTTAACGTTTGGACGAGGAGGAGCATTGATAGGAAATTTACTTTTCGGTTACCTCATAGATCTAAACTGCGTTGTACCAGTTGTGATATTCTCGATTATGTTATTTAGTAAGTCTAATCATAAGTTTAAGCCACACAATGGTTATTGAAGGAATGGCATTGGTATTACATTTTCATCTGTTATATCCAGAGATATTCATATCGAAGGAGCATATTTCAAGAATTCAAAATTTGTATAGAAAAAAAAACTCCTCAAACGCTATGAGAACGGAAGTGGAGTGTTAAATGGCATCGAAAAAAAAACTGAGCTCCATTCCGATCGAAAACTAGATTAAATCAAATCAACATTATTAAGACACATTTGTGGCTTATTTGGCAGCGCTACCGCTCTACTTCCATTCACGTAATGTTTGAGCCTTAAACAACGGTTTCCAGCTCAAATCCGCAGTTAAAATATTGATGAAATTTGATGCAGCTTTTCAATATTGTAAGATATGTTTGACCTCTTTTTTTAATGTTTACTATACAAAATGCATCTAAACACTGGCTTGCGATTCGCGTGGCAAACATTAAGAACTAACGAGATGATGATGGCTTAAAATTCCTTCACGCTGAGATTTGGGACAGAATTTTTGAAATGATTGTATTTTTATAAATTTGCAATCCTTTTAAATTTGGTTTTACTACAGGGTTAAAAACGTTGAAATCTATCAATTTATGTGAAAATTTAAAAAAAACCTTTGGTGAGATATGACCCTTCTTACTTATTCAAATTCCGACTAAATTGTTCAAATCTTCATTCATGGAGAAAAAAGTACGATAATTTCTGAATAAAATGCGGTTGAGCAACTTATTCATTCATTCTAATATAATTTATTGTGTCGATGAGTTTAGTTGCATCTCAAAAACTGTTCACTTCCTCGTGGGCACTCATAACTAGGAGTGCGCCGATTTTGAATCGGTGCGCCGCCATGATAATTTTTGATACGTCGCCGTTTTAGTTTTCAATACACTGACTTTGTAAATATTTTTACAGCACTTTTAAATTTTGGTGGACTTGTTTTTCCAATCCACTACACAAGATTATGCACAAAAAGGACCAAATAAATGGTATATTTACCATAGACCGGATTTCTTGAATTCGTCATCGGGTTCCGGCGTAGTAGTCAGAGTCTTACTTCAGCCAAAACCATAACAAGTTCTCAGACCTACACCGATCGTGCGATACGTTCCCGTGTGCCAGGAACCTCATGGGAAGTGGCCGGATTATGTCAACATGTGACACAATAAATCACATGATAATTCAAAAGTATATCACTGACATGCTCGTCGTGGGTCAAGAACCACATTCAGATATTTTCCGGAAGCCCCCGAGGAAGGCAAAAGATTCGAACTTAACCTAAAACGGACTTAAAAGAACTTAAATAATTAGTAAAAAGGACAATGGCAGTAATATCGAGTTCCTAAGACCACATTGGCCACATGTTTAAAAAATCATCATACAATAAATTACGAATAAATTGAGAACATATTGAAAGATCGACATATTGGGCACATCCGGAAATGTAGGTGATGCGTATCTCACATATCTCTACGAGTGTTTAATGTAGCCGGACTGACAGTATATTCACAAAGATCGAACCTTCGTCCAAATAACATGTATACAGTCATTGGGGTAAAAACGGGGAGGGGGGCTATCCCCCTAGGATTAATGTAGCCTCCTTTAGAATTGTTACTAAAATTACTTATTTTCCTTATTCATCAAAATTGTTCGCTAATTGAGAAGTTCGAAAACTAAATTTAGCTTCCTCGGATTTTTCGTTTTCGTTTCGTTTTTCTTTTTTTAACTGACTTTGTCGCTTCATACGCGAGAGTTTTGCCTGCTCTCAACTTGGTGTTTTTCAGACAATTTTCAACGCATAGAGTAAGGTGATGCCTGGTCTTTTAGAGCCAGGCTTTCCCCCAAAGAATCACAATAATTTGAAAACCAAGAGCGTAATCATGCTCAACTTTACTCTACAGTAATGTAATTACATTTTTGTTTTAATTTAATGTTTAAAATGTGACTTTTTGACAGCCGGCACAAAGGTGCCATGGGTATCAAAACACGCGTTTTATTATTTGCGCTGAAATGGCTGTTTGTAGAAGTTTGGTGTCTTGAGGAATGTTTCTTGGTATGCAATACTCTATCTGAAATCAGCAGTGATTAATCCTCCCAATAAGTTGATAAGTTATTTATACTTTTTTTTATTTAAATATCTCATATTTCAATACCAATAACTCGTACACCCATCTGAGAAATTTGAGATTATTATAGATTTGCATGAAAAGTATGCAGAATTTGTACACGCAAACCAAAAATCTATTACTTTCAATGTTAGTTATATTTCCTATCATCCTCCGCAGCCAATTCCGCAGCAAATGGTATAAGTTAACCTCGCAGGCGATGTAATGGTTTTTTCCTTTTTTATTTCGTGTTCTGTCTACGCTTTCGACTATAAATACTGGATGGAGAGAGAGTGGAGCAAGTCTAATAATCGCAACGTTCGTTTCACCAGTACACTCTTTCTCCATTTTCTTGCTTTGGACCGCAGCTCGGTATATCGTGCGGTCTCCACTAAGATCCTCCGATCATGAATCTCACATAAGTGTAAACGAATCTTACATCCCCCGGTTGGATGTAATGTATCGCGACATCAACATATTCTTAAATATGGACGCAGGAATGTTTTTCACTGAGATCCAGCAAAATAAAATGCCGAGCTGCTCGGTGGTGCCAATTTCGGCAAAAATAAATCTAAGTGAGTGCGACAAGAAAATCATCCTGTGTTGGTTTTAGTGGAAGAAATAAATCCATCCTTCATTGGTTGTAAGAGAAGTTTGTTTTGCGTGTAAACAATCAAAAACATGCAAATCGTTACTGAACTGTCTGCTTGTTTTTGCTTGTTTAGGAGTTATCGGTATTGGAAGTCGAGTTAAGTTTGAACAAAAAGTGAAAATAACTTATCAAATATTGATGATAGCAAGTTGAAGCGGCAACAGAATTTCGTAGTTTGACAGTTTAAACAAGTTTGTATAACATATCAAAATTGCTAAAAGTTAAGTTAAGTTAAGTTTTCTTTATTATGGAGGCTTTCAGCCTGAGGCTGGTTCGCCTCCGAGATTGCTAAAAGAAAATATAAAACTTAGAGTCTAATTTATGAGCAAATACATGAGCTAGAAAGTTAAAACCTACAGCAAAGTTGTTTATAGTAACGCCATCTTGAACTTTGTTGAATACAATAAGCCTCTGGCTCGTCTTTTACAAAAAAAAAATAATGTCCACCTCACTTGTAGCGGATTAATCACTGAAGGTAGAGTTTTGTATACCACGAAAAATACCACTACCTCACCGTGAATCAATTTTGAACACATCATCATTTCGTTACTTCTTGTTTTCGCTACGAGAGGTAATTTTTCATCACCAATAGTATCTCAGAGCAGATAGATACATATGTTTGTGCCAAAGCTTATAACTCAGAAACTATGTTTTTAAGCTTTATTAGGATTATTTTAGCCACTTTTGAGCTAGTTCATCATCTATCATTTATTTTATTTTATTACAGTCACATTAACACTTTTTATGTTATTCGTGAATTTTCCGTGGATTAGATTTTAACTCATGTCTTTTTAAGAACCTGATTATACACTCAATTTTGTTTTTACGCTCTTTTGATTTTATCGATTTTGCCCTCATGCAAGATAGGAACAGCATTTTTAATACGACCTGATTTTTAATTGATTGTTTTGTAATTTTTTTTTAAACAAGTTGCATTCAATTTGGTTGCAAACTGAGATCAAACGATTTCGATTAAACGAAAAAATCGCGTAAAAATAAAATTGAGTGTATGTTAGTTTTGATACTTCTCCAGAAAGTTAAATCAGAATCGGAGAAGGTCGTGACTGTTTTTACGTTAATTTGATGCTGGAGCTGTTAAGAGTTTATGGTTGAATAATTGATTTAAAATGCTTTGTTTTTCTTTTCAGTTAGCGGAGCACTGTGTTTCTTCTTGCCTAGCACGGGAAGTGAAGCTTTAGATTGATTATCCGTAAGTCCAGTTTCCAAGTATAAAGATACAAGTGTAGATAATATTGTTAAGGTTTTACAACACTAAATTTGCTTACCTGTACCAATGTTTTGTTTATATTGATACAATATTATTAATTCAAATGTATAGGCTATTCAGAAGAACAAAATAAACTTTATGATTCATTTCATTTATTGTCATTGCAAAATTGTTATTTACACATCAAGTCTTGATTTTGTTTTATCACCAATTGCTGAGAATCCGAAATTTGAAACCGGAGATTGAATGTAACCAGAAACTGAAGGTATGAAAGGGAAACTGGTGCTTAGATATGGGTTTGTATATAAGCCTTGACGGTGCGCAATTTTGATTCTGGAAGTTAACTGTTTTTTCCATTTGGTCCGCCTATTTTGAAACCAAGTTTTAATTTGTACCTCAGTCAAATTTAAACATTTAGACAGCTCAAGCCGTTTACTGACTGACAAATATTTATCTTGTTTGAATTCACTTTCCAATCTGAAAACATCGTTAAGAATTAGTAAGCTGTGGTGTGGTCCGAATGTATAAGTGAACCTTTCCAACTGCTTGGCACTGTAAGCTTGACGTGGCTTTCGATCAGTTCCTTGTCGTCGGCGTTTGATTCCAATTTTGGGACCTGGAATGTGGAAACGACGGAATTAAGTGACGATTTTTTTTGTAGATTATTTAGATTTAGCTTTTTTTTATTATTTTTTGTTCATTCAAAGAATAGCGTTTTATGTTTGTTGTGTAGTAGGCTAAAATTATGTATTAGATTTGAGTCGTTATTATGTTGTCAAAAATTTCCTCATAATCTTGCTTTAATTCAGAAGTACACATCTCCAAAATTTCAAATAATGAAGATAACCGACGTTCGGTTAGCCAAGATTCTCTATCTAGCGCACATGAATGAATTTACGGTTTGTTTTCCCACTAATCTGTTTCGCTCTTGCTCGCACTCGTTCGATTTAAATGGTGCAGTAGTGTGCGCCGATTAAACGTCAAAAAGCTCTATTGACTTCTCGACGCAAGATCTCACTAATACAACCTAGCGAGCGTAGCCGTGTAAAATCGATTTGTTTATTATTTTCAACCACGAAATCAGCTGTCAAAGTGTTCGACTTGACAGCGGTTTGTTTTTTATTTTCAACCAGTAAAATGCATGTATTAGTTAAACTTCTCACTAATACTAACGGTGGTAGAGAACTCTATAGCGGATAGACAAAATGATCGGGACAGGCAAAATTTTGTCATAATCGAAATGGCATTAACTTTTCGAAAAATAAACCAGTTTTGATGAAGCCGGATGCATATAGCGGCGCCGGTGGTGTAGTGGTAAGCGTGATTGCCTCTTACCCCAGAAGGCCTGGGTTTAATTCCAGTCGGCACCGCCAGGATTTTCTGAGGCATACAACCTCTTATCACGCCTTCCTTCGGAAGGGAAGTAAAGCCCTTGTTTTCCGGTACATGAGTTGATGGGTCGATAGGTAGGGTCCAGGTGTGAGAGCTGCCTTCATGGCGTCGGTAGCATTGGTTCTCAGTACGGAAAACAAGATCGACGGAAAACAAATCAAGGAAAATAAAAGAAACCGGTTGCATTTGACGGCAAATTTATATCAGTTTTAATAAATCATTTGAAAATGTGTGGTGGCCACCGGAGATGTTGCCAATTCTTGGGGGGGGGGGGGCATGTCAAAAATTGAATTTTTCATTGCTTGTATTTTTCTGTTATGAACATGTATTTGAATTCATATTTTTTCTTGATAATAGAAGGAATTCTAAATGTAAATCTGCCCACAGATCCAAGATCTGTTGAGAAACAAACGAGATCTGACCATTATTGCCTTGAAAGAGTAAAGTTACCAGTGATGTTAATCTTTTGAATCACCTCAATATGGGTATCAATCCTCATGTTTTTTAGCGCACAAGTGGCGATGACCATCCTGGAGAAGGTTAAGTTTTTGGCAAACCCCCTAAAAATCTGGAACATCTCTGATGGCCTGGCATGTAATATTTATGACCTAGACGTTATGAATAATTAATCTTTTATTAAAGATTGTAATCACAAGGAGCAAAAATACATTGTATCCAAAATCCGTTCGATTTTGGCACGGTGCCAAAAACGAACGGTTTTGCTGTTTTGTTGCCAAAAGTGAACCGTGCCTAAATCGAACGGGTACTGTATTTAGATTGCAGACTTAAGATATCTAGGTCTCCATAAAACGCCTTTTTTTAGGTTCTCTCGGAGAGGCCCTAGAAGTTTTTTTTTTATTCTTGATTTGTTTTCCGTCGACCTTGTTTTCCGCACTGATTACCAATGCTACCAACGCCAGGGTGGTAGCTCCCTCACCTAGACCCTACCTATCGACCCATCAACTCATGTACCGGAAAACAAGGGCTTTACTTCCCTTCCGAAGGAAGACGTGGATCAGAGATTTTATGCCTTAGAAAATCCCGGCGGTGCCGACTGGGATGAACCCAGGAACTTTGGCGTGAGATGCCATCACGCTTACCACTACATCACCGGTACCGCTGGTCATAGCAGCTTGAAACATTAATATTATATGCAACAATACTTATTTAAATAAGTAGAGAACTCTATAGCGGATAGACAAAATGATCGGGACAGGCAAAATTTTGTCATAATCGAAATGGCATTAACTTTTCGAAAAATAAACCAGTTTTGATGAAGCCGGATGCATATAGCGGCGCCGGTGGTGTAGTGGTAAGCGTGATTGCCTCTTACCCCAGAAGGCCTGGGTTTAATTCCAGTCGGCACCGCCAGGATTTTCTGAGGCATACAACCTCTTATCACGCCTTCCTTCGGAAGGGAAGTAAAGCCCTTGTTTTCCGGTACATGAGTTGATGGGTCGATAGGTAGGGTCCAGGTGTGAGAGCTGCCTTCATGGCGTCGGTAGCATTGGTTCTCAGTACGGAAAACAAGATCGACGGAAAACAAATCAAGGAAAATAAAAGAAACCGGTTGCATTTGACGGCAAATTTATATCAGTTTTAATAAATCATTTGAAAATGTGTGGTGGCCACCGGAGATGTTGCCAATTCTTGGGGGGGGGGCATGTCAAAAATTGAATTTTTCATTGCTTGTATTTTTCTGTTATGAACATGTATTTGAATTCATATTTTTTCTTGATAATAGAAGGAATTCTAAATGTAAATCTGCCCACAGATCCAAGATCTGTTGAGAAACAAACGAGATCTGACCATTATTGCCTTGAAAGAGTAAAGTTACCAGTGATGTTAATCTTTTGAATCACCTCAATATGGGTATCAATCCTCATGTTTTTTAGCGCACAAGTGGCGATGACCATCCTGGAGAAGGTTAAGTTTTTGGCAAACCCCCTAAAAATCTGGAACATCTCTGATGGCCTGGCATGTAATATTTATGACCTAGACGTTATGAATAATTAATCTTTTATTAAAGATTGTAATCACAAGGAGCAAAAATACATTGTATCCAAAATCCGTTCGATTTTGGCACGGTGCCAAAAACGAACGGTTTTGCTGTTTTGTTGCCAAAAGTGAACCGTGCCTAAATCGAACGGGTACTGTATTTAGATTGCAGACTTAAGATATCTAGGTCTCCATAAAACGCCTTTTTTTAGGTTCTCTCGGAGAGGCCCTAGAAGTTTTTTTTTTATTCTTGATTTGTTTTCCGTCGACCTTGTTTTCCGCACTGATTACCAATGCTACCAACCCCAGGGTGGTAGCTCCCTCACCTAGACCCTACCTATCGACCCATCAACTCATGTACCGGAAAACAAGGGCTTTACTTCCCTTCCGAAGGAAGACGTGGATCAGAGATTTTATGCCTTAGAAAATCCCGGCGGTGCCGACTGGGATGAACCCAGGAACTTTGGCTTGAGATGCCATCACGCTTACCACTACATCACCGGTACCGCTGGTCATAGCAGCTTGAAACATTAATATTATATGCAACAATACTTATTTAAATAAGTAGAGAACTCTATAGCGGATAGACAAAATGATCGGGACAGGCAAAATTTTGTCATAATCGAAATGGCATTAACTTTTCGAAAAATAAACCAGTTTTGATGAAGCCGGATGCATATAGCGGCGCCGGTGGTGTAGTGGTAAGCGTGATTGCCTCTTACCCCAGAAGGCCTGGGTTTAATTCCAGTCGGCACCGCCAGGATTTTCTGAGGCATACAACCTCTTATCACGCCTTCCTTCGGAAGGGAAGTAAAGCCCTTGTTTTCCGGTACATGAGTTGATGGGTCGATAGGTAGGGTCCAGGTGTGAGAGCTGCCTTCATGGCGTCGGTAGCATTGGTTCTCAGTACGGAAAACAAGATCGACGGAAAACAAATCAAGGAAAATAAAAGAAACCGGTTGCATTTGACGGCAAATTTATATCAGTTTTAATAAATCATTTGAAAATGTGTGGTGGCCACCGGAGATGTTGCCAATTCTTGGGGGGGGGGGGCATGTCAAAAATTGAATTTTTCATTGCTTGTATTTTTCTGTTATGAACATGTATTTGAATTCATATTTTTTCTTGATAATAGAAGGAATTCTAAATGTAAATCTGCCCACAGATCCAAGATCTGTTGAGAAACAAACGAGATCTGACCATTATTGCCTTGAAAGAGTAAAGTTACCAGTGATGTTAATCTTTTGAATCACCTCAATATGGGTATCAATCCTCATGTTTTTTAGCGCACAAGTGGCGATGACCATCCTGGAGAAGGTTAAGTTTTTGGCAAACCCCCTAAAAATCTGGAACATCTCTGATGGCCTGGCATGTAATATTTATGACCTAGACGTTATGAATAATTAATCTTTTATTAAAGATTGTAATCACAAGGAGCAAAAATACATTGTATCCAAAATCCGTTCGATTTTGGCACGGTGCCAAAAACGAACGGTTTTGCGGTTTTGTTGCCAAAAGTGAACCGTGCCTAAATCGAACGGGTACTGTATTTAGATTGCAGACTTAAGATATCTAGGTCTCCATAAAACGCCTTTTTTTAGGTTCTCTCGGAGAGGCCCTAGAAGTTTTTTTTTTATTCTTGATTTGTTTTCCGTCGACCTTGTTTTCCGCACTGATTACCAATGCTACCAACGCCAGGGTGGTAGCTCCCTCACCTAGACCCTACCTATCGACCCATCAACTCATGTACCGGAAAA